AAGAAACACCATTACAGAAGGAACTGAAAGAATGTGTGTTTAAACAGGCGATAGCGCTTCTGTTGACCATATTAAAAGACTGATTCTCAATGGGTATTTAACAGGGGGAAGTGGTGGGGAGATAGGCCGGCAAATCTCATCTGAGTGTGCACCTGGACAAACAGGTGATGTGCATGCACACGTGCGCATACGTACACACACAAGCCTGTAAACTGTGTCAATTTGGCCAAGGCCAGATATCCAAATTGGTGTAAAACAGCATGACCTGTTTCTCTTGTTATCAATCCCGACATTTACTTATCAAAATCTTTAATCTGAAAACTAGCGCTGTTAGGTAGCTGAAACCAAAACAGAGTAATCAAACATCCAGATGGTAAGATGAGATAATAGTTTCAGTCAATACGATAACAACTACTGTATAGTTACAGTATTGAGACAGGTGGTTGAAGGCCGAGTTGGGTGTTAGCAAAGCAGGCTCAGCACAATGTGAAATCAAACACCTGTTCCCAGCTTATCTTGTGTGCTTGTGTGTCTATTTGTGTGGGCATATCATAATGACGTCATTATGACAGCTAATGGGCGCTAATAGAAGGGTCCGCCCGGTTGCCCACTGGGAGCCGCATCATGGCAGAAGTTCAAAAGTCACTTTAAAGACCAGCCAAGGTCAAAGAGATAAACAGACAGAGATCCTGCCCCCCAGTGGTACAGTATATTCTATTCCTTCATAGTTTGTATTCCTAACAAACCATGACCTATTTGAAAACAACAAAATATTCCTAACTGTGCCACAAACATACACTGGTGCAATGCATGGGTGCCATACATGTGTGTTTTTGGAGGATCAATCTAAATAACACACATTTTAAATACTGTAAGTACAAAAAAAGTTACGTGCTTTGATCTCTTTATTCCTGGAACCGCCTCAGTGTGCCAAACTGCCTTTTAATAACAAAAACAGTGTTTAGTTGAAATCTGGAAGGCAAGATGTGTTGAGGTTTCACTTCCAGGCAGCTGAAGAAAGATGGACTACTCATACACACACACACACACACACACACACACACACACACACACACAGACACACAGATACACACACACACGGCTGGTGGAGCTCAGAAACTTTGAGGCCATAAAGTCTGACATATGGAATGGTGTGTTAATCAAAGACTCCACGCTCCCAGCTGGAGCAGCCTCACTGGGAACACTGTCTGACATGCATACTTGAGAATGTCCTTGTGTGTGTGTGTGTGTGTTTCTCATGATAATGTAATCCCCTGTCATCCTTTGTAGTGATGGCGGTATTTGTGTGCCTGGTTATGTGCATGTGTTTGCTTCTCCCTCTTACCAGTACATTCTATATATTTGTTCTCTTAAGCATCTCCACGACTTTGGCCTCCATCAAAACATACTGTTTATACAGTTTATAAGAAGGATTATACATTTTGGGCTATTGTTTATTTACAAAAAGTGTTATCTGCTTGATTACCTAGTCTCTCAGAAAAGAGTGATGAACGAGAGCAAAGAGTTGGGGTGTACATAGCCCAAACAAAGGTAGTGCCACATCTCTCTTGCTTTCTTTTTGATTTGACTCTTTCCTGTCTCTCACCCTTACCTGAGCTCAGGTATAACAACACTTCAGCAGAATTTAAAAAAAGATGCAATCTGAATGTTTTTATAATGTAGTTTATAGGGAAAATAAAAACCTTTCTCCTGCCTCTTTCACCAAATCCCCCTCTATATTCTCTGTTTTCAATCCCCCTCAAGAATGCACTGTGTCTGACACATAAACCCTGACATCTTTACATTCCTGACAATGGAAGCTGAGGAAGCAAACATTCACAAAACAGGACATGATCAAAGCGCAGAGCACTAGCTGGCTCTGTTTTAGTTTAATTTTGCTTGTCCTAAGATGACCTCTTGGATCATTTTTCTCTTGCCTGGCCCATTCCTGTAATTATACACACATTCATCTCAGCCCTAACAGAAGACTGATAGGACAGCTTCACTGTTGAAATATTTCCTCTGGAAAGACATGTATACTGTATATATATTTATGGGTGTTTGGGGGAGTAGTTTAATGACTAGAATTATTACAATCTAATATTATCTAATGACATTTGAGTGTCTAATTTGCGCAGACATGATCCATTTTGACAGATATGTGTCAACCAGGAACCCAAAATAATCCTGCAGTTTCAGCTGTGTACATATGGACACCAAGTCAACACACACGCAGACACCAGTCTTAAAAACCGTGTTGGAATATAGACTGACATGATATATGTTCTCAATGTTTTGGGAAAAAAAACTGTATATCTGTACAACTGACTCCATGGTGGTCCATGGTTCAAGACTGGCAGATATAAATCAAGATCCATATAGAAAACCTCAGATTTGTATTGGCATGCATTTGAGTATGAGAATGGGTTGTGCTCTAAAATTAAGCAGCACACAGACATGCAAAAACACCAGCACAATATACGACTGCTGCAGAAAAAAAATTGAAAGGGAGAAAGTAGAAGAAAAAGCAGCCTCGTCAACCAGTGCCTTTTAATAAGTTCAGTAAAAATGTTCTGCTTCCAGAGCCAGTACAGTCTCCCTGGATTCCTGGTAAAGATAAGTAACTTAAGAAGATGAGATAGATTATGAACTACAGACAGGGTGAGAGAGGATAAGATAACAAGCAAAAAAAAGAGGGCTACAAAGAAAAAAGTGATGAGAGATAAAGGAGAGAGCAGAGGAACAAAGAGGGCTTCATTGTTTTCAATCTTGCTCATTACTGAAGGGGATGATAGCATAATAAAGTGCTAATGGGGGAACAAATCGTGTTGTGTTCAGCTTACATAACTGCCGAGTGACAAATCACACAAGATGTTTCCTTGACACACACACAGCTACCAGCCCTCTGTTTTCTTTTTTCCTCGTTCTGTCTCACATACTCATCCCGCAAACAAAAATAGCCATTTTGTGAATGTTTCGAGAAAAAAAAAAAAAAAAAAAGAATTTGCCAAAGCTAAATAACAGTCAGGAAACTAGTCATAACTGAGCCCTCACCCTTGTGACAAGTGCAGGCCCATACCAAGAGCCATGGTCAGCTGTCACTACCTTCTCACCCACTGAGACCACATGTGCAAGAAAGTCTGATAACCCAAATGTCCAGCTGTTTGCAAAACGAGAGAAGAACGAGAAACAGCGAGGGAGTGAGAGACGCGGAGAGAGGACAGTGCAGTCAGACTCCATCTGTTAATGTGCGTCAGTCCTTGGCAGTTCTGGCACATCTAAAGAAGGCAATGTACTTCATACCGTGACTGCATCAATGTCAACAACAGAAGGCATCAACAAGCAAAAATTATTACTCTGATACTGAGTTTTTTTTTTTTTTAAGATTACTGATATTGTACAACATTTAGTATGAGCAGAAATCCAAGATGCACCTTCTCTGGCAAGGTTTTGTGTCGAACCTTATTAACGAGAGCTTGTTGTGTACTCAAGAGCAATTAAGCTATGTGCAAAGGCCTGCTGGTTACTGTGTGCAGTTTTTCCATTAATGCTGGAAGACCACATTGGCCATACATCAATACACTTCTGTCAGTATAGGGCTCCAGGCGCAACAACCGCAACATAACCGCAATGCGACCGAGCCACCAGCCAGCCGTCCAGCGTCATCAGCTGGAAGTGAAGAGTGAGGAAGAACACGAGTGAGCGAGGGAGACTGTAAGAGTGACAGAGAGAGACGAACAGAGAGTCAGAGGAGGACATAGCCAACTAACTGCCATATACCGGTACAGTCTACCAAATCAGACAAGGTTTTCACGAGCTGAGAACCGTCAGCGCTGCTAGCTGCATGCTCACCCACAAATACCACAACAACGAATTCCTGTGTTCACAGCATTAATGGTTGATGCTAGCTGTGTGTAGTGAGACGGCAAACATGACAGCCAGTCGAGTAAATTCTACATCATGCATGGTTTCGAAGGTTGACGACGATGCCATTACATAGCTTGGCATGCCAAGAGGTCTTGAGTACATTAAGACCCGATGGTTTATGGTCTACTGCCATATATTTTTGTGGTGTAACTCTAATCTGCTACATCAGCCACCCAAGTACATGGTTTCTCAGACTGTCCGGATCCATCACATGTTGCACTCTGCTCGGGACTGCTTCAGAGGCACTGACGTGCAATCAGAGGCCTTAGTGCCGGTGCCAAGGTAGCACGGTAAATTGTCAGCTGACGAAAGACTGGAAAGAGTGTGTTTTGGGTTTGGTCCGTGGGGGCTTTAGCCAACAGGAAAGCTCCGGTGTTTTCCTCTCCATGGGGCATAATGGATTCTCTCCGCCAATGAAACACTATTCCGGCTGGCAGGCGGGACCGGCAGCCACCTGAGAGCCTTTCCCACAACGCCCCCCTCTCCTGTCAGAGCCAGACCAGGCCATCACTGGAGATCTGGGACAGATGGAGGGATGGAGAGAGGATGGTTGAAGAGAGGAGGAATGTGAAAGAACAATGAATAGGAGCAGATGGTATGAAAAAGGGAGGGATAGAGGGAAATTGGCCTCCCTCTTTCTCCAAGACTACTATGGAGAATCGTTGATTTCTGAGCAATGTATCTAAGCACCACCGCCCATATCTGAATGCACAACTGTATACTGACATACACACAGGTTACCATAACAACCAACAACAAAACAAAATAGGCTGCAAACCCCTCTTCTTCTGTCACATCTGTCCATGTTCACCCCTCCTTCTCGCTCTGCCGGTGTCTCCGCACACTTGAAATGCTCCGAAAGCAGGCAACACTGGCACACAGTGGCCACAAGGGCAATACACTCAACTGGAACAATGCCCTATTCATGACTTTATCAGCTTACAGACATGCACTCATAGTCCACACACACACACACACACACACACACACAGACACATTTGGATTGCTGGCATCATCTGTGAACGTTGTGCAAACCTATTAAAGAAGTCAGTGGGGTCAGAAACGTTATGTACCTTCTCTCATTGTCGTCCAGGTGAGCAAACAGCACATTCTTGGAGATGGCCTTGGCCAAGGCGGTCATGGTCTTGTAGTCCTTTGGGATCACCTGTGTAGACAAAGCAGTAATATCCATTACAGTAAAGTAGTTCTGCAATACTATGCAGGTGGACACATGAAACAAACCAGCACAAACACATAATAGGCCTGACTTCAAAAGAAGACTAAATTGAGTAATTAAAGAGCAGCGGTACTGGCAAACTCTGAAAGGAGTATCCCACACGTGTGTCTGTGTATTTTTGGGAAAGCCCATCTGTTCAGGGATTACACTCAAAATGTCACACAGCCCTTAAAAATTCACATGAGGCCTGAACTCATTCAGAAAACATGCATTTTCATGTCCCAGACTCTGTGGTGTATGTGTGTGTGTGTGTGTACATGGAAAGGGAATGGCAAAGTCTGTAGCCACAACAAAGCCCCAGAAGTCTGTATTTATAAAGTGGCATCCTAGGAGAGAACTTAAGCTCCTTTTACCATAGGGTGAGAAAAACAAAAAGAGACAAGAAGAAAGAGTAAGAAGACTAAACTAAACCCTTCATAATACAGAATAACTTGAAGAAGGAGGGGAGTGTGTGTATGTGTGTATGTGATTTGTTTCTGATGGTAGGGGAGAGGAGGGGGCAGGCTGTAATTACATTAAAGCAACAGATGTCTCCACATGAAGACAACCACGCAGCACTGTGCACTACATGCACACACAAATACACACACAACCACATCAACATATATAAAATAAAAAAGTACAACATTTTTATCTATCTGCAGTACTCAGGCCTGGCTACTCAGTGGACAGAGACAGAAATAGGCCAAGAAACTGTTGGGAGTTGGAGTAGGATGCAGACAACCAGAGAGACTCAGTAAAAGTAATTCTCAGATTCAGATTTTAGGTCAGCTGCCCAATCATCCTCCACAAGATCCAGCTCCCGTACTGTCACCAAGGGGACAAGTAAATGTCAGGGCACTCAGCTTGTTACCAGCTTTTGAATCACACAGAATTATGATTCAGAGTCTGTCCTTTCTACACCAACTTGTCAGGGTAATGTTAAGATATTCAGCTCACATGGGAAACGATGAATTTCTAATGATTTATGCCTAGAAGCAACTATGAGAAATTCTGTTGGTATTCTAAAACTGAAGTTAGGCTAGTGACAAGTGTAAGAGCCATAATGGCAGACAATAATCTGATTCTGAATCTTAATTATTTTTTTCAGAAGTTACTTTGCCTACAGCTCGTTTATGACTTATCATGACATCCAGAAGGAAAGCAACTACACTAAGTATTTCCCCCCATCTGCAATATACTTTTTTTTTTCAACAACATTACGTAACATTTTCCCAAAAACTAGACCTATGTTATATAATTTGTTGAGTTGTGTAATAACATTATCTTATTATCTTATTATTATATACATGGGTCCAATAATGTTCAAACCCAGAAAAATCCACAATCTTCACACTGGTCACCTGTCAATCGCGTCATAAATGTACTTTTAATCCAGTTTTAGCCCCCACTTTTCAGATCTTGGTTGTTGTTAGTTATATATTTTAACCAAATTAAGGATTTTAGTCACTGGACGTCTGAATCTTAAGTTATCAGAGAAACAAGTTGAGTTAACATTAGCAGCAGCTTGGCTGGGACGTACTTTGTGCGCTGAACAGTGTCAGAGAAACACATTTTTAAGTTAAAACTGCCTTATTCAGTGTGTGAGAGACCCTCTAGGGGCAGAAATGATATACTGTACGTTTAATTCCACAAGAACCCTTTAAAGTTGGAGGAAATATCAAAATGAATGCCCATTTTGTTCCCACCTCATCATGAGGTCAAGAGAGGTCTCGTCAATCTGCAGACAGCCCTGCAATTCATTCTGTTAATGTGATCTCCAGGCCTGACTGACAGGCCTCACGATTTGTTAAGACTTTACAGCAAAGCTCTTTTTAATCAGATGAGCAGGGTTAGCTAATTGATTGTGTTCTGTTAAACAGCTGCTGATTTTCACAGTGGAGTCATTAATGGAACTGATGATGTAGGAAGATGTCAGCGTATAGGCTTCGTGTGTGTGTGAGTGTGTGTGAGTGTGTGTGTGTGTGTATGTGTGTGTTACCTCAGTGTACATCAAAGACCAGAAGAAATCCTCTCTCATACTGAAGCAATAATGTGCTTTCATGTTCTAATTCAATTTTAGTTCACTTTTCTCTGATGATCTGTTGTGTTGGGTAATAACATGAATTAATTTCTTTTTCACATGCAGCTGACGTGGCTGTGAAAATCATTGTGTGTGTAGGTTGTTGCATGTGTGTCTGCGCGATACAGTGAGGAAAATGAGGCTGGCGATGGGGGCAGGCTTGTTGCCATGACACATGACTGCGGCGTCTGGTAGAGACTTCAGAGCCAGAAACACAAATTCATGTGGGTGTGTGCACACACCTGACACACACACACACACACAGTATGCTCCAGTGGCCATGCGATTACAGCGTGGTGACGGGGGTTCATGCAGTTATGTCATTACCCAGCAATTAATGGCGTGTCAAGTTAATTACAACTGAACAAGCACGGTAATGATATAACGACTAGGGTGTGTGTGTATGCATGTATACGAGCGTGTGTGTGTGTGCTGTCTGTGTGTGCCAGAGTGTGTAAAGGTGAGGTGCAGTTTCTGGCAAAAGAGCATGGCAGGTTGTAAGATACTCTAACAGCCGCTTCACTGCCCTCAGTAAGAAACTCAAAGTGACTTTACAAAATAAATTGTTTTAGCTTCTATCCCTTTTACTTCATAATCATATTGTCTCATGAAGCAGAGATACAGGGGAAAACAAACATTTTAATTTACTCCCAGATTTGTATTGTGTTGTGTATTTATATGCACAGCTTTCTGCAATAATCTTATTTCTTAAACAGCATGGTAGCATAATCCAGGCAGGGTATTAGAAAAACCCAATTGTTTCCGTTAGAGTTCTCCCCTCGATAAAGCTCCTTTCTTGGCCATGTATACATATAACCAGGTTTCTAATCAGCGTTTTACATGTAAGCATCTGCATGACAAAGAATTAGGATAAGGTACTGGAGGGCAGCAAGATGGCAAGTAAAAATATTACATGAGGTGATGCATCCTCATATTCAAAATATGTCTTTCTGGATAACATGGTTTCTTGTCAAGTCAAGTCTATTTTATTTATACAGTCCAGTATCACAAATCACAAATTTGCCTCAAAGACAACCCTCGTTTCTGGCAAAGGAAAACTCCCTCCAAAACCTTTAACTAGGGAAAAATGGAAGAAGTCTCAGGAAGAGCCGCAGAAGAAGGATCCCTTAACAGGACAAACACACAGCCAACAGATGTCACACAGCTTGTGTGTAAATGTGCTAGATACCCCCACATTTTATATCTAAAATCATATGTATGCAGTCAATGAAACTGGCATAAATAAAACAAGATGTCAACTATTTGCAAAACCCTGAGTGGGAGTCTATCACAGTCTACAGTAATCCAGTCTCAGCAAATGCCACTGAACATCAGTTCAGCAGCTGACTCACAAACTGTGTATTTTACTGCAATTAAATTCACTCCGAGTCTGTTGATTGCTGTCATAACTCGCCTCCCTTCCCACTGTCACGTTGTTCCGCTGAATGTGTTTACACTCATGCTCTCAAGCGGGTGTTAACAGAAAGACAGGTCCCTGTCCAACAAATAAACAACCATCAAGCTTGATGTCTGCTTGATGATTTTGATTACACTAGACTCAATTTTAAATTTCTCATCCTGGGGAAGGCCTCGCATGCGCACATTCATTTAGTTTTTTATTGCATGTTTGTTGCAATGATGATTTAATTGTGCAAACAAATAAGCAATAGCTTTGAATTAACCTGTGTTATTGTACGTGTACCTGGGTATCTGCAGTGTGTGTCTGTGCGTGGATGCTTTTTACGCATGCATCCATCTTCCGAGACTGACCTTGCGTACGTAGCTGACAGCGTCCTCCTCAGTGTAGACCTCGGCGCTGACCCCTCCCCTGCGGCGGCGGGCCTTGACGACGGGGTTGGGCGGTGGGGGAGAAACCTCATCATCATGTGAGTCCGACTGGCTGTTAGATTTCTGCCGTGCCATGATCTGCTTGCATTCTTCCTGTAAAGAGACAAGATTGTCAGAGGGACAAGCATATAGTGGGGGACACGCAGAGGGAGAGAAAAAAGCTGTTCAGTGGTTGAAATATCAATACCAAAACAGTGCCCCTGATGAAAAACTCTTTTAAATAGAGATGCAACTGCTATTGTAGCTTCATCCAAGATCATCTGAGGGCATTTTGTTATTCTTTTACCTCACAAACAATCACATGAACACAGGCTGACAAACCTCTCCAAGCGCCCTTTGTAACATAAAGCATCATGTGGATTCTTATCCAGGTCAGATAATATAACAGAATTGTAAAAAAAACTCATAGAAAGCAGGGTGGACATGTCCTAGTCCTGAGTGCACACTGTCTGGACATCTGGCTGCTATGGAATGAAGTGAAAGCCATCAAATATTAATATCTGCAGGCCTGAACGTGCACAGAGAAGAAAGCTTAGGCAGGTACTCTCCTCCTCTCAGATAATGAAAAACAAGAAATAAAGACATCAAAAGGGGAGACAGGATGCCTCTGGCTGGCTGTTGTTTCAAGTACTGAACAGTCTGCAAGCAATGAATTATTGATTGCACACTTGATTAACACATTAGCATAAGTACACAATAAAACCACTGTAGGGTTGTTGATATGTGAGAGTGCAGTGAGACAAGGACGATGTGATAACAGTTTGTGCAAAGGTAGCCAGCATCCACTGCTTGTATGTATAATGACCAGTGTGCACTGCTAGCACCGTGTGTTTATTCCTTTATTTGAGTGCATGCATTAGTGTCTTTAATAGCACAGTGGGGATTCAGTCGACAGCAGTATTATTCACCACCACATACTTGGGTACAGTAACAATTTCATCTGTTTGCTGGCTCACTGCGTTGCTACTGTGTGATCAGAAATAAACAAAGGTGTCTCCAAACTCCAGACAGGCAAGTCACAAGAGGCGGCACTCTTACGCTGCAGTACAGAAACACCACACAGACAGGAATAAACAGAAACAGGTACAGAAATCAAGTTTAAGGTGAAAGGTGGCAGGCACCTGGATCTGTTAGTGTGTCACGGTGTCTGCTGATCCATCATGAGAGCATCCTGGGTTTATAATAATGCTCAAATCTATTCCATTCGCTTCAATTTTCAATGGGAACATTCACAATTGCTGAGTTTAATTTATCACAGAAGATATGCTCACATTATCCAGTCAAAACCGAAGAGAGAAAATTGTGATGTTAATTTCTCACTATTTTCTGACATTTTATACAACCAAAATGATCAGCAGATTAATCGATAATGACAATAAACATAATTTAATGTATGTATAAATAATTCGATTTGATTAATTCATGATTCAAGTAACTAATTAATTTTGGTTTATTTACAATAATCCATGTACATTGAACGCACTTTGTATATATAATCCTTCCATATTTAATCAATTATTGATCATTAACAAGGACAGCAATCAATTAAGGAAGTGCTTATTCCCACCATCATGCCGCTACATTTTGTAATGCACTGTATAATTCAAGTACCACCATTTTCTGAAATGTAGTGAATCAACTTTTTTTCCCCAGCAGAACTGTAGAAGGGTGAAGGCAAAAAAAAGAAGACCTGGAGCAGCTAGGAGCAGAGTCATTACTGAGCGCCTTGAGCAGGGAGCAGAAATTGCTGCCACTTTTCTCTGCTCATATACTGACAGGGAGAGACAGAAAGACACAGAGAGGAAAGAGAGAGACAACCTGTGACAGAGAGATCGCAAAGGGAGAGAGAGAGAGAGAGAGAGAGAGAGAGAGAGGTTGGAGACAGTGAGGAGACATAATGTCACATTACCTGAGAACTGGGACAAACATAATTGTCAAACCCAGACGTCACAACTCAGCACTTCTCTGCACATTCTTTCTCAACTATCTGTTTCAATCACCCCCACAGCATAATGTAATGGTGACGGGAACAGTAATCCAGCAGTGCTATAATGATACAAAACAGCAGCCAGTTAGACGGTTGTCTAGAAGGCATTCGTCAGCTTACACTCTCACTCATTCTTTGAGTTGGTATCCTTTCATGGAAATATCTTTTCATAACAGTCTCTCTCTCCCTCTCACTCCCTTCTTTCTCTGACTTTGTCTCTCTCCTGATCATTACATCCCGAGGTTGCTGGTGCTTTGCTCACTGTCTGTTTAAAGCAATGTACTAATGCAGATTGCACGCACACACACACACACACACACACACACACACACACACACACACACACACACACACACACACACACACACACACACACACTCACACACACTCACTTCTTGCTTACGCAGAGTCACTGCCTGAGGGAACACAGCCAGCAGGAGGAGAAAAGGTGAGGTAGAGAGCCAGAGAGCAGCATCAACAAACACATACACACACAATCTCACAAACACATGCACGGGCAGACTGCAGGGGGAGAAGGAGGGCTCACACGCTCCAGCTTAATCTAGGAGGCAGGTAACACACTTCTCTCTCTAAAGACAGTGAGGGCAAAGCCAAAACAAACACAAACGCTACCCTTTCTTTCAGGCATTAAAAATATATCTTTCTCTCCTCACAAAAAGCTACAAGTCAGAGTCACAAACTAGCAAACACTGTTAACATGCTGCTGTCTAGAACAGTCAATAAAGGTCACTTCAATTCTCACACACGCTCAAACTAGTACCAAGCAGCTTTACCTTGCAACAAAACTTCCCATGCATCAACAACAAACAGTGTTGCATCCCACTTGCTCGTGCCTTGTGCAGGTTAGCTCCAGGAGGCTAACTACAGGCTATGTTTGTTAGCAGAGCTATTTACCATGGCATGGAGGGCCCCTGGCCAGGCCTGCTGTTTGTCCCTCAGACCTGTCAGAGGCTCCAGGCATCAAGTCAGAGTGCAAGCGTGTCAAAGTGTGCATGGGAATCAACACACATGGATCCCCATCTCATACACACCTGACACACATATCACACCGCGGCAGCAGCATCTTGCCATACTAGCACAGCGACCACTGTGTGCATGTGTTGTGTATGCACACTCGGATTTGGAGTGTGAGTGTGTGTGCGGGCAAGCAGAGAATCCAAGTTCGCGTGTGCGCGCGCGAGAGAGCACGAGTGGCAAAATGTCTGCAATCCCCACGACACGGCAGCTAAAGAACAAGACTACTGATGAAAACACTGATCACAGCAAAAAGCCTGTCTCTCCATCGCTCCTGCGCAACTCTCCGTCTCTGCTTTCCAGCCGCTCTCTCTCCCTCTCCCTCTCTCCCTCTCCCTCTCTCTCACACACACACTCAAAATCAGGTGGCGCAATGAGCGGGCTCCTCTCGCTTCCCCCCCGTCACTATGACAACTGGGTACTGTGAGCATCCTGAATAGTTGGTGGTGAGTCTGAGCAAGAAGCAACGGTGGCTCGCACACCTACACACACACACACACACACACACACACACACACACACACCAGTTCTGACGCCTGTTGACAGATTGTCTCTCTCTCCTTCTCTCTCACTCACACATCTACAGTGATTCAGTTGACAGAAGGCAAAACGTCAATCGCCTCAATACAGACTTCTGTTCTGGTGTGTGTGTGTGTGTGTGTGTGTGTGTGTGTGTGTGTGTGTGTGTGTGTGTGTTTTGCATGAGCAAATGGCTAAAAAAATTCCCATAGGGATGCATTGTCGTCCCATACATTCCTTGTGTGTGCCAGACACTGGGCTGTACCACGCAGTGTCTTTCTCACTCCCTTCTGATCTCCAGCCCCACCCACGCGCTCTCCTCTTAGGTCAGAGGGTCAGGCATGAAGTGAGGACTTTGTGTCTGGCTCCAACAAGTCCTTGCTGTTCTGGCTCAAACACAGAGACACATGACACACGTGCAGTATGACTTTTGTTGTCTCATAAGCGTAAAGAGGAGGCTTTATTAGTCCAAGGTGAGCTAAGAACAGGCTAGGTAGATTGAGGCATTACTGGGACTACAGCAGCTAAACAAAACACATCTGCAGTTGGCAACTGTTCTACCAATCTCAGTCTGAGGTCATTTCTATTTCAAACAACATTAAATATTCTTCCACATCCTGCCATCTATTCTCTTGATTTACCAATATATTTTCTAATCTATAATCAGTGCTATTACCCTATGTCAGAGTCTCTCTCCTCTCTCTCCCTCATTCTCTCCTCTGCTCTTCCTGCGTCATCGTCGGAGGCTTGATGCCAGAGAGAGAGGACAGGAGAGGAGGGAGGGGAGAGGAGACAGAGGACACAGGCGTAAGCAGGAGAGAGAAAAAAAAAGTGGGCTTTCCATTAGAGACAGAGTGACTGTGGGTCACAGATTACCAGACAAAGAATAAAGACAGAGACAAAAGAAGACACACACAATCCCATGCACACTCACTCAGTGGAGTCGCTGTTATTAAACCATTTTCAATTCCAGTTTCAACCAATTTGTAGATGATAAGTCATATTAAAATGGGACTCTCCTGTTTTGTTCATTCCCTGAAGCAATTTGCACCAAGCAGATAGGAACAAAAGTTATGACTAGCTCTCATCCTAATAGCTATGACTAACAGATATTAATCAGCCCAACCACCCATCATGTTCGGCGCAAAAGTACTGAACCCACCAGAGGGGATCAGTGGGTCCCCTCGCAGCGCAAATACATCCAAAAATCTTTTCTTCCATAAAGATAATTTCTGATATTAGTTATAGAAAAGGAAACATCCATAAGTGGTTACCTTAGGCAGCCCTAATCCCGGTGACGTAGATAATTTCACTCTCTGCTGCTGGGGCTGAAAGCATGCGAGCGAACCAAAAACAACAAGGTGCCGCAAACACACACACACACACACACACACACACACACACACACACACATACACACACAGACAGGTAATGAAGCATGGAGAGCTAATCCACCGGCAGAGCTAACAGTCTACTCATCACTTTGTTCCACACCATTACAGCAACACAATGGACTGAAAGTTCGCCGCTGTATTACGACCTGCGCGTATGTGCAGTGCTGACCTCTTGGCTATGAAATGATGTTCACTATGTTTATGGTTGCAACACACACACACGCACATGCACACACACACACACACACACACACACACACACACACACACACACACACACACACACACACGATGCTAATGGAGGCTACATTAATTCTCTAATCTTAATCCTCAAATCTACTGGCTAAAATGTAACCAGCAACAAATAGGAACTCTTAACTCTTCTAATACAACCAGGTCTTAATTTTGAAATAAACTTGTGAAATTCATTAATACACTGTTGCTACACATCGACAGCTCTACAGAGAGAGGACAGTGAAAGACTCCTAACATAACCCTGCTCCTTACGAGTACAGTTTTGTCATGCTTGAAAGATGTTAGTGGGAGTATTGATGGTCAATGTGTTTCAGTTCTTTGAGTCTTTTCAGTTAACCTACCAGATGAAGTTTCACATCTATCAAGACTCCACCGTGCAGCCTATAAACTCTGTTGGTGAGCTGATTAGTCAATTAAAAGAAAACTAACCTGCAACAGTTTTCCTAATCATTGAATTATTTATGTAAAATGACAAGTTGCTGGTTCCAACTACTCAACTGTGAATATTTGCTAGTTCCCTCAGTCTGAAATATTAAACCGTTGGTTGGACAAAACAAAACCATTTGAATACGTCAACTTGGGCTTTGGGGAATTGTAATGGACATGTTTCAATATTTTAGTGTATAATTGAAGCCCTAGAATATTTATGCAATCTACAGATAACAACATATAATGCTGCTCGTTTTACCAATGCTGTGTCTGGATGTAATGTTGGTTAACTGCTCAGGCAAACATCTTTTTCTTAAATCGCATGTAGTTTCTTTACATATTTGTACATGACTGTCTCTGTCCTAGCACTTAACTACATCTTAGTGCTATACACCTGACACCTTTCCTCTTTCTTTCACACCGACCACAGATGAGTTGGGAGAGGGCGGAGGGATGCAACGGGCAGATGAGAGAAGACAAAGAAGGACCACCAGGGAAACAGGGTCTGGGGGTCCAATTCACCTGTAGGGGCCCCAGGGTGGGCCAGAGAGGAGGTTTAGGCCCGGGTCAATGCGTGCACCCGAGGTTGATTTGACAGAATACCCTGCTCCCAGCATGGTGGTGATGACAAACAGAGGCTGGAGACACTAATAACACTGTGTTGGGAAACTCTTCATTTTCTAGACCTGTGCTGCTAATAAGCTGTATGCACACACACAAGACTTATCTAAATAGTCATAGAGCAGAACAAGAAGAAGACAAAGAAGCTACATAAATAAAAGTAAAAGTAGAAGATAGGGGAAATAATACAAACCTACAACTAATTTTCCACTAATGCTCTCAGCGTACTCAACAAACAACCGAACCCTCATGACAAATTGTCAATCAGAGCCTTTGAAGGGACTGGCGGATTTGTTATGATAGGTCCTGCTGACAGCTGAATGGTTGGCAGTGCAGAAAGGCTTCTCATCTTACAGGGTACGGGGAGACAGTGGCTGATTGACTGATAGACTGACAGACAGGGAGAGAGGAACTCTCCCATAATGCAATGTGACGGGGTCTTTTGAAAACAGAGCTGATGTAGCAGAGTTTACATTTTAGTCGACATGCTTTATGATGCTGTGGGAAGGCTGGGCAACATGATCAATGCAACACTGACCTACATACAATGGAGCTGTAGAGACACAAGTAGAGACACAAACATCTAACTTGTGTATCCTGATTCTGCTGGTCTATCAGGTCTATTTTTCTATATTTTAAAACAAAAAACAGGAGAACAGAAACATTACAGGGGTTTAGAAGTAGTAATAACAATTTCAACTGCACTTTTCTTTGGTAGATACAAAGTGCTTCGACAGGTTGTGAGGTGTAATAGAAATACCATGAACAGCAAACAACAAATTAAATAAAGTAAAGAGTAAAAGAGGAACAGGAAATTAATCGTAAACTAATGTTCTGCTTCCTGATAGTAAACTAAATATCCTTGGATTTTGGTGAGACAAAACAAGCATTGTAAAGGTGAGAAAAGTTGAATAAATGCCCATTTAAAAAGGTTGGAGTCCTAACCTATAGGTCAATCTACAGCCCTGACAGCAAATGCACTTCAAAACTGAGAGTAGAGCTTTTTCTGATGACCTAAAGGAGTTTATAAATGTAGTTAGTAGCTAACTAATTTAAAACATTACACAATAAAATTATGTTTAAATGTATTCTAAAGGCAATGCACAGATTCTAAAATAGAAATATGTTTTCTTTAGTTGCAGGTGGAGAAACTGAGAGATAGAGCGAGTTAGAGTGAGACGTTAACAATAAGTATGAGATTGGTAAAGTATGGACAAAAATGAAAGATAGGATACAAGTGAAAAAGATAGATGAAGAGAAGCAAAAGTGGGTGAGGTAAAGCTTGCATGGATATGGCTGCTGAGAGGGGGGGTTGAAAAGATGAGGAAGTGATAAGGGAGAAATTGTAAAAAAGCCAGGAGTGACGCATGAGACCCAAACTTATGACAGCCCTGTGAGCATAAAGAACACAGGGAGCATTCTGCTTATCATAACAACACATACCAACACAACCACACACAGACATACACATATATAGATGAAGCAGAAACTGTTTAGCAACTTGTGTAAATGCAAATATTTAAGGTTTAGTGCACCAAAAACATGTTTTCCGAACAAAAATACTAACGGTAACCATGCAGATTTCTGAGTTTCAGTTATATTGAGCAAGGTTTTGAAATCTTTTCCTCTGAAAAATCTGCCGCAACCCTGAAAAATTAATGAGTGGAAATTTTATGAAGTTACATTGAAGAACTCAACAGCAATATTCAGGTTGCTTAGGATAATCCACAGACGTCACTGTTGACAGTTTTTAGTACTGTCAACCTTTAACAGAAAAACTAGAAAGCAGTTCCTACTGAAAACCTTCCATAACTGTTCTATGGCAAATGAAAAAAAGTCTCTCATAGTCTTGTAAAAAAAATAAAGCTTAAGAGAGGGATTTACTTTAAGATGCTGAACATGTTCAATGAAGTTCATCGGGGACAGCAACCCGAAAGATAATAAAGCCGAATTTGTGATGGGTCCTAAGTTTTGATTGGAGATCACAGAACCGTGCCAAGGCATGTAGTCACTGCATAGACTCATCATGCCCGAGCACCACACGCATACAGATGGAGTTGAGGAGTGAC